TAACGAGGATAATCCCTTATATCTCGATGAAAGTACCCGACTGCATCCGCAGAGCAATATTTTGTAAGAAAGCATGATTCTTTTCGCCATACGCTGTGCGTCACTATTTATTAGGCACAAATCTACGGCTGAGTTATAAACTACAAAACCGCCTTGCCTATCCATCGCTTCGGAAAACCTTCGAACCGAGGAAAAGAAAATCCCTGTGTGGAGAGTGTAAAGGGGCATAAAATCGCTTCCTTGATTATGAATAAAAACGGCCTGCACCAAAATACCTCGTGTGATGCTTTTTTTGCAAATCTGTCTAGCGAATGTTGGCCTTTAAAAATATTTATTGATTTACTGTTTGGTATGTGGAGAAGTCGTTGGAACATTTTGACTGAACAAAATACACAATTTTACATATGCTAAACTACGCGAACGTGGAAGCTGGATTTAAAATTTCCGGACACATACACGTACGGAAAACCTTCTCTTGGAATTTCGGCTTTTTGCTTTTTCTGGTTTCGGAATTGGGAAATTTCCTGCTAAAGCGCACGCATCCTTACGCGAATGCAGATGCATGCAGAAGCTGATCTAAATTTTCTGTCGTACATGAACACTTAACATTCATCTTAGTTTTAGTTTCTTGGCTTCTTTGACTACTGCCCTATCAATTTCTGCGCCATATTTTTCACGTGACTGTGTGTGAAAACCAAAGGTACATAAATTATGAATTTAACTTCGTTGTGCCGCGCATGGGCAGGAAAGATTCTAACACATTTCTAATCTCCCCTGTAATTTTCGAGCTGTCAGATTTTGCGTCGAAACTTTCACGTGACCTAAGCGTACGTTAAAGCTGAATCTAAATTTACGGGGTCACACGCGGGCGGAGATAGTCGGTTCAGGAATCCTATGCTCCGGGTATTGCTGAGATACTATCGTAGACCAGACACAGCTGCGTCAGTCCATTCATTTAATGTTTTTGCGCAATCTTTGTACTTGATTCTACAATATCAGATTGTCAGACCCGTATTTTCTTCGAGTCAATGCATTGTCATATCGTTGGGGAACACGATTCCTGGATGTTGTAAAGTTTTGCTGTGCTGTTGCTGCTGCTGCCGCCGTAAGTTGCCCGATAGCTGCTATACTAGTACCAGGTACACTATGTAAGTAGCGCTTAATCAAATGCGATCCCTTTCACCCTTCTCCCCCACACTCCCTCCTTTCCTTCAGCTCCAAAATCATGCTTCAACCACATACACATCATATAAAACCACCAGCATCCATTAATTAATAAAAGCATCTGATCCAGAACAACGCTAAATGCCAGCTGGGCAAATCTCATGTTCAAATAAAGGCGGTAGGTGGCGCAACTAGGAAATCGATTTTAATGCATATATAAATTTTTCACAATACTGAAAAGAAAGGATCCTCGACTCAAAAATTAGGTTTCTTAAACTCACTAATAACCAAGCATTAAACAGGTATCTTTTATATCCGCTTGAAAGGCTGTATGGAATCACGTGGGCAGGAGAAGCCCAAAACAGAGGAGAACTAAGAAGTAGCCAGCTGCATCGATGGAAAGAAGAAACATAACGATAAGGCAACAACCGATCAAAGTACTAAAGTAGCTATTATTTTCAAATGTTTAATAACCCGTTATTGATTTTATTAATTTCATTTTTAAATTTTTGATTTTTCTTATTACTCAGTACTGATTTCTGCACATAATTACGTTGCATATTGTTGCTTTATATTTTTCACTGATCCAGTTACCTATGGGACTGATTCAGTTACCTATGGGACAATTCTGTGCTTTCAGAATGTTAATAACTCAACAGTGTGAGAAATTACTCCTTTCCTTCCAAAAAATTCTTCAGAAAATCTCGAAAAATTGCGAGCGATGAAGGACCCGATGTTGTAACACGAGCCAGTAATGTGGAGCACTGTTTAAGCGACGCGCCACCGGCATTATCTCAGTGGCGTTTGCTTGTATGTGCACACTATAAAACCCATGTAAGAGGTATCTGTTTACCCTACTGCGATAATTTTGTTGCCGCTTGCCTTGAAATAGCAGATTCTGGATCTCACATGGTACCAGACGTAAAGAAGAGTGGAACCGGCGAGAATAAAAATTGTTATATAAAACAATTTTAGTGGAACAGACACGTATTAAGTGAAGATGAGGGCACACATCACCATTCCTCTCCAATCTGGGCTCTTTCATCCACACAATTCTATAAATTTGGAACAACAAACCAAGAGCAGGAGGACTAGACAGAGTTGAACCTGACATGTAACTGTTTCTTCATAAGACCTTGGGCGTTTGAGAGGTAAACCACTAAAGCAGCGGTAACCACCTGCTGGGATATCACGATCATTGCAATCCAGAAAATTGAAAATTTTGAAACATCCAGTACTCACCCGTACAACGGCCCGTTTC